TACGTGTCATACTGGTTCTAAGCTGATTTTCAGTTCAGGGTCTGTGTAGTTTTAAGCATTATTATAAGCAGTTATACTTCTAAGTACTATCTATCATATTGTCCTGGAAAAAAACGCAACATGGCTAAAAAAAAAAGAACTTAGAAAAAAAAAAACACTCTATCCGACCTTTATAATCGCAATCTTTGGTCATAGAGATATACTTCCAATGCAGGCGTGTTATAAATAGAGAAAATACTCATGTTTTGGCACTTTCAAATTTAAAAAAAATAATTTTGGAAAAAATACGAAATCTAATTTTTAATGCGGTCCCCCACTTCCTATACTTATATTTGGGAAAGCTTCATACTCGTTTTGAAAAAGCAAACATGCAAGAAGTATGACGAAAATTGACCAGCACATTTAATTTCAAAATTTCCAATTTTTGATGTATTTTCAACTTACTTTAAGGCATCGATTAATTAAGTTAGAATAATTTGAGTAAATAAGTTTAATTGGAAGTGCAGAAAAAAGGGTGTATAATCCAATAGGCTTACAAAGAAGTCATGTGGTGTTCAAATCAGTTCTTTTATGAAACTTTATTATTATTGAATTATGAAAGTATTAAAATTTAACGGCCAAATTCGGGAAGAATAACGGGGACGCCAAATTCGTATTAGATAATTACTTTACTCTAGCAACCTTTTTGTACTATTTTGCTTTATTTGATTTTTTGATATAGTACATTTCCTCTTAGATTGATTATCTGTACAAAGCTGTATATTAATTAAGCGGATAATTGGTTCTTCACTGGTGATATATAAATTCGGTTTTAAAAAGGGCGCTGCGACGCTCAAGCTCCAAGAGAGGCTGAAGCGTTTATAGCTTTGTTTTCAGAGAATATGAGAGTGAACCATACTATTAATGCCTTAAATTAAGTTTTAATACTACAATAAATATCGCTTTGTATTAAAAACTAATTATCACACATAAATAAAATGATTAATTAAACAATTAAATCTAAAATTATTAACTATATTACATATATAAAAAGGGGTTGACAGATAATTCTCTGGATAAAATATTTCTGAAAGTAATGTTGCAAATATATAGTTTAGAAAACAAATGTTGCGGGATTTTAAAATATAATTGTGTACGTAAACGACAGAGAAACCCAATGAATAACTAATCAAAACCACCTGTTTTTATAATAGATGTAACAGAAACAGGCCAACTGAACTTTAAATTTCGTGAAACTACCGTTTAGAATGGTTTTAGTGTAGACCATCTTATTTACGAATGCCTGGGGTTTAACACTTCAGCCGTTAGCAGTCTTGCCTCCTAATATTTCTGGGTCACAGTGTTAAAACATCTCGGGCATCATCAAGTGCAAAGCATGTGTTATCATATTCTTCGCCATGAGTCCAAAATCATGAGTGCAGTTCTCGAGTCTTACGTAAAATAGATGAGCATGAAGGCAATCATATTCACTTATAAGATGGAACGATGTCACAGCTGTAAAACGAGCAGAATGTGGGAGAATATATTCCTTCTTTAAGAGAATTGCAAAAAAACAAATAACTCAGACAACACAAATTTGACAGACAGAGAACTTTGTGGATGAAAGATAAGCTAATCTGTGCAATAGTAACTAATCTGACGCTAGATTTTACCGACTTTAAAAAAACACATGTTTTGAATAAAATTAGATGCTATATTACACCAACAAGGGGTGGAATGTAACGGATGACGGATGAAATGTGATACCCCTAGTTTTATAGCACACAGTGCTGCTACTTTTTTTGTACTTGATTGAAAGAAATCGTGGCAATTCCTTATTATAGTGGCCCCGAGATTGAATCTCTAACCAACAGAAATATTTTTCCAAAATCTCACCACGTCTTATTATATTAGCATAGTGTTTGCCACGTGTCCTTATATTAACACTGTGTTTCATTTTTGCTAAGGCTTTCGACTTCGCATTGTGTTTCAAAAAATATTCCTTGACTTTTTTTTTTGTGAATATGCATTAATAATCTTATGCGTTAATAATCTGATTACCTTTTCTTGGGCAGAGGATTTCACATCCATGAAATGGTGTGACAAACAGTTTAATATGTGTGAAAAATGTTGCAATTGATCGGAAAATTACATGCTGGAAGTGTGTTCCTTACACCAGATGCAAAGATTCAGTGGGCGAACAGTCGGTTCCTATAAAATAGTTGAAATCGATGAAAGTTTGTTCATTGTAGAGTACTCCCACATTAGTGGAAGACGGAGAGTACATTGTCATTCAAATCTCAGATAGAGATGCTGGTACACTTACGCAGAACAAACATGTGCAAAATGGATCAACAACCTAGTCAGATTGCTGGAAGGAACATTTAAGAAGTTGGTTACAGTCACTCTACTGTGGACCCTAAATACAATTTCCTAGACCCAACAATGGGTGTTCAAATCCAAAATGTGGAAAGAAGGATATGATTTAGTCTTGACTGGCAGAAATTCCATTCAGTAATACAAAATGCTGTGCACACAATTATACGAACACAGTTATTGATTAATATGCCATACTGTGGTGAATTTTTCGTTGTATTTCGAACACATGTTCTACCGTAGGATCATAGTCTGCGAGTTTAATAATGTGGTCATAGATTGAAGACATAATTGTCCTGAAAAAGTTACGCAAACTTGAAAGAATAAAATCTTTTGCATGTTGCACTTTCAGATCGTATGTAATTTCTAATTTCTCGTAAACCATAGTGCATTTGTGATGGCTCTTAAAAACTTATTCTGAAAAGCCATTAGTTCTTTTTCCTGTCAGTTTTTAAAGTCGTAGCCCACACAAGTATGGCGTAGAAAAGTGAAATATAAGCACTAAAAATAATATTTAAATAATACAAACATTTAGGCAATAAAATATAAAACACACATTTTAAATTTTTCTGTAACTTTGTTGGATATACGGATTGAAAAAAAGCTGGCAATGACTAGAAACTATAAAAAATATATTTCAAAATTTAAATGTTCGACGAATGGTGATTTCACATTTTATAAACAATTCTATATGTATTTTTGACACTGTTTCTTCAACACTACTCTCGCTCGTACTGCTATAGTTACAAAGGCCGGTTAATACTGCCATACACTGCCGGTAATGTACTGCCGGTTAATGTAATTAATACAATGCAATACTACAAACGTCAATTTAACGGGACTTTTGAAATATAGAGAAGAAAATTTCTAGTGGTAACTGCCACAATATATTATTACTCTCACTATGTAGTTTTTCGTTCTATTCTTTCAAAATTATTTTTGTACTTTGTAATGTTTATAAAATTTCTTGTCAAAATTTTTTGATTTCAGGAACATCTCCATTATTTTTTAATTTGCGATATTTGCTTGTATTATGATTAATTAGGGAATCCAAATCTTGGCACATTGTAAAGTGTGCAGTTCCATACATTTTTCGAAACGGTTAGAATTATGTAGAATGGTATAATTAGGTATTGCGTTAAGTAAACGGAAAGTTGTCTCTCATTATTATGCCAGACCCAAAAAAGTAATTTTTAAGGTTGGCACTCAACTTGTTAATTTAATTACGATATGTCTCTGGCTGCATCGCATAAATTGCGGATTATTTCGTTTTACGGAGAAATGTCTTGCAGCTAGTAGAATAAAGTTAAATGCTAGTTTACAGTCGCTTTCAAATATCGAAACTAAATAAATTAATGGTCTCAACGCATCGAGTGATTATTTTAGAATAAACAATCACAATCTTATCATAGTCGCGTGTTTAGGGACTCGGCCGACTCTGATAAGTTAAATTAAAAAAACAAAAAGAGGAAAAATATATAAACACTTTTACTATCTCAGTTACTCGAAACAAACTCTTCATTGATACATACTGCAATGTGGACTGACGGATTCTCCCTTTTTTTTTTTTCTAGCCACTATAATCTAGCACAGTAAACATTACTTGATTGATGAGCATATATTTAAAAATACACTGCAGGAAAAAACGGCAAAGGCAGAAAATGGATGAAATTTGTTTGGTTACATTTTTTATATAACGCAAGCATTTTGCAGAATCATTTCTCGTCGACATTATACAATTATCAGCAGGTTCATTTGAATTTTTTTTATTAAATATGAGGTGGGAAATTTTTATTTGTAACACATTAACTAAATAAAACTTCTGTCATGTTGAAAATACGTAATATTATTTTTTTATACATAAAATAATATTTGCTTTCTTTGCTCCTAATACGCAAAAAATATACTGGTCAATGGAATGGTCTTTTATATGTTTGAAGTAATGTGCGGTGGGTACAAGTAAAACTGCTTAAAAGATGGAAGGTGTTCTCTATTTAAGCGCGGTTCACACAGGTTAAGCATAGGTAAGTTCCCTTTAAACACAGCAGAAAGAAATACTACGCTATTTCGCGCGCAACCTAAATGAAATTTTACGTTTAAGTATCAGTGGAAGAACATCAATTGCGGAACCGACTATCAAGCAAAATTTTCTAAATAATAAAAATACGTTTTTTTTAAGTAAAATAGTTTTTAGACACAATTTTACTCTTATAAAATGATTACGTAAAAAAAATTCTAACAGTTCAATTAGCATTATTTTTGTTTTAATGTTTTTGGTTAAGGAAAAGTACTTCTTCATTCGAAGTTTCATTGCAACGAAATTTTTAAACAACCGCTGAATACTTTTTTTTTAAAACTCTACAGAAGAACTGCTTTTCTTTCTTCGAAATTTCTTTTATTCTTTGAAGCTAGAAAATTATTTTTAACGTTAGATATTTCGCAATAGGTTTACAACTGAATGCAGGAAAATTAACTAACTTTTTGGGTATCTATATCAAACTGTTACGTCTGCGGTGAAATAATTTTTTGAAATTAAAACATACCATAATGATGATTGGGATTCGAATTATTATTATTATCGTTACTATTTTTTCTGAAATTTCATGCAGTTTGCATTTCAAAGTGGAAAAATTATAATTTCTTACCTCTGGATTGTTGATTTTCCTCATAATCCACCGCAGATTTGTATCTTTTATTTGTGATCAAAAACGCTCGAGGCATCTTTTCATATCACAGAACCAATTCTAGACTCACAGCACGATACTTGAAAATTTTTGCCACAGTTCTGTTCAAATTTCACTTGGGGCTCGGAACGTATACAACATAAGACCCTTTAATAAATGCAACAGTACCACTTGACGGAAGGGAAGACAGTGACTTGACTTTTTAAAACTCCTGCGATGATGCCAAAAGGAGAGGGGGTGTGTAGGAGGGGTACGTTCGGGGTTGTTGCGCCACGTGGGTTAGGTCTGAGGGGGGTCTGCTTCCGGTTAAATGAAGATGGTCCTCCCCTTTCTTCTAAGGTTCTTCTTCCTGTCTTTCTCCGCACTTTCTTCTCTTTTTTTATTTTATTATTATTATTATTTTTCTTTTAAAGATACTACTTTCTCTCTTTGAGATCTTTTATTACAGGAGTAAACTCTTCTGAGATACGATGTTGTGGTCCAGCAATGTTTTTGTTTGGTTAAGTTATAGGTATAACATGTCTCAACAAGTGGACCACTGACAAACTTTTTCTCTCTTGCTTCCAGTCTTTGAATGTTCGCTTAATTTAGCTTCTTCGCATTTTTAATTTTAACTCAGTCGTCGAAACGCATTAAGTAGTTTTCTTGATTGAGTCTTTATGCATGAAATAAAGCACTGTCCAATAAGTTTCAATTCTGTTCACTCTTCAGAATCTCTCTCTCTCTCTCTTTTTTAATGTGTTTTGTCGTAGAAGGATATTATAATCACATCACTGCAAAATATTTCTTCCGAAAAAAAATGGCGAAAAGTCTTCCGAACTATTTCTCAGTTTACAAATTCAAATTTAATGTAAAAAGATTGATACTCGCAAAATCAAACATCATCACTTCAGAATATTCTTCATCGCAAAAATATTTCATCGAACTGAACTTTTTTTAAAATCCTGACAAAATCCGTTTGTTACTTTAGTGTCAAAATAGTGTTGCCAATCTCCTGAACTGCTATAATAAGTTCTTTTAAAGTTTAAATACTTTATAGCAATCTCGTTTATAGAAATATTTTATGTGGTCACGTGCTAGCTATTTCTAGTTATTTCTATTTAGAAAAGTAACTTTTATCTCATTTGATTTTACTTATCTTTTATTTAAATCTTGTTCTCGAGAAGTTGATTTCATATATATTAACTCGCGCAACTGTTTCAAACTAACATTTTTATTTTATTTTTTTTTTTTCAGAAGTTGCGTTATCGAAGTAAATTTCTTTGACCAGACATCATTGTAATTAGATTGTAATGAATATATTGCAATTAAATTTTAAATAGCAATCGATATTTTGACATCGTAATATTATTGTTGCTACAAATAATTGTTAAACGAATTTACTTAGACTTCATAATTAGTTTATAAAATGCTTACGATTTGGAAGCTCGAAAGTTATTTCGCAAAAGTTTCATTTTTTTGATGGAAAAGTACTCTGATATATATAGAATTATTTTATAGAATTATTAATTTATAGAATTATTTTTACTGTACAATAAATTATTATTTTGTGATAAAAATTGCCGAGAACAAATAAGAGTTCAGCTTAGAAATCTATTTACACAGGCATGACTAATGGAAATTACAGACTTCGGTAACTCGTTCTCTTGTATTGCACAATTTTTGCGTGATGACTTCTGTAGTTGCGGAGTAGGTACGACTGAGCGGGTTGTTGAATGCAATGCGAAGAAGAAGGTACAGGAAGAAATTTATGACGTCAAGGGAATGGAGGTATGGTAGTAGAGGATGGATTCTAAGATGTTGAAGGATGCAAATATCCACTGTTAGGATTTCCAGCTTTATTTGGGACGAGGGCCAACATACGTCCACGTGCATTTTGAAGGCGGGAGCACTACATTTGATCTACCAATGGCGTTCGAGATTTCTTCCCAAAAGTTCAAAAATAACTCTCGCTGGTGGGTTTCGACATCTGGTCCTCTCGGAGCGCGTGGCATACCTACTGTATGATCTTTCATCATCCAAATCGTTCCATCCTTCCCACCCTCTCTCTCCACTTCCATTTTTCTTCCTTTTTACATCTCTGAAGAAAGTTTTGTAACTGCAAACGCACTGGAGAAAGAAAGGAGTTCACCCTAAATTTAGGAATTAATGCAACTGAGGGGAAAAAGGTATTTTTGACCATGTATGGCACTGTTTGACAATTGACTTACCCATATGCGGCGCAAAGTTTTGGCATTCATTAGTTAAGCCGTAATATCCTAGCGGAAATAGAGTTCTTTAGAGATTTGGTTAGTTACTGAAGAACTATGTAGCGACTGTTTGCTGAGTTCTTGTTGCGTGAGTAACAGTTCCAAAGAAGGGATAAATACTCTTTAATTCTATTTCAAAATAGATGTACTGATGCCTCTCTTGTGTGTACAAGAAGCTCCAATTGGGCTTTACTCAAAATAGAAATGTAAGACTAACTAATACTAAATAACATTAATCAGCCGAAGGTGCACAGAATCAAACTCGCGTATTTTCCCCTTAACTGTGGATCACCGCTTATACTAGCAGGCACGTGTCAAGCGTGGCCGTCGAATAGCAAGCTTTAACTAATGGCAACTACGTAGCCGAGAGGCATAACACGCTCTCCTAATGAAGTAACTCAGACCTCCTCAAATGCTAGTGTGTACCTTATTTGCATAAAACGTAATACTGAAAACTCATTCTGGTAGGAAAACGTAGGTGGGAAATTAAAAAGGTAAAGGAAAGATTTGTTCAAAAATAAACAAATAACTGTTTTCAATATAACATAAAACCCTTACAAAGCAAGCTTAGCTTAGCTTTACAGGAAGGGGGTATAAAGTAAGCAAAAATATTTGCTTTATACCCTCTTTCAAAATTGAAAATCTATAACGAGAATTTTAACACTCAGGCCTGGGAAATCACTGGGAATTTTATATCTAGAAATGACTCCCCCATTCCATTTTTTAAAATTATATATCAATACTTCTGTGCTAAGAATTACTTTTCTGCATATCATAGGTAAATTGGAATCATTTATTGTATTTCGTGTAATAGGCACATTAGTCCAAAGGGGCGGTAGCCCAGAAGAGCTATTAGTCTCAAAATGGCATTTTGAAATTCACTATAAACGTCAAATCACTTTTAAATTGTTGCGACCGAACATTATCGTCCTGTATTATATATAAAGAAATTAAATAATGAAGAATCTGCATTAATGTATGTGTGTTTCTCGCATCGTGATAAGAGATCGATACCTAGAGCCATCACATTTTGAATAACGTAGGCACCTGGAAGCCCGAATTTTGAATTTCGAATGTGTTTTATTATCTATTTCATATTCTTTAAACTTTAACGAATTTTTGGTTAATAAACTCACCGATTTCAAATCGAGCACTGTACGAATTTCCAGCGCGCGAGATTGTCTATCGAAAATTCTATAGATATGCTGTTTTTAAAATATTTTGTGATATTGCTGTTGAATTGAATTTTTTTGCAGTTTAAATGCGAAGAGCATGATGTTTAATAAATAAAGGTAACGCACAAAACATTAAAAAATGTTTCTTTGTGTGTAATATAAAATCTGAAAGCTTTCGGATTGGATTCTTTTATTTTTGATTCGAAATATAAAAGATTTTATCCGTAGAAAAGAGTTTGAAAAAGAACAGTTATTCTAAACTGAAAATAATAATGACAGTATGGGATACTTTCTTACACCATACATGTGTCTTATAAGTTCTTATACCTTTAACATAAACCCGTTGTAACGTCTTAAGCTATTTTATCGTCCACCACGAAATATAGTAATTTAATACAATGTAATGAACTCACCTCACAAGTGGTTTATAGGTCTGCTTATGCTCTCTCATTGAACACATAAGTTTTTTTTACGTGCTTCAAAGTATTTCGTATCAGTGACACGTTTGATCATATTGAATCAGGTGTAATTAAGGGAAAGAAAAATAGCCAATTTTTCTCCTATGCAGCTTGAGGAGCGTACCGATATATAAAACGTTTCGACTTTGTTTTTCACCGCAAGATATATAAATGGTAAACATGTCAAAAACAAATCTCTTACTGTGTTATCCTCTCACAGAAAACACCTACAAGGGAAGAAACTTTTAACGCCATTGACGATTATTTTGGGAGAAAGGACATTGGTTATGCCAATTGCTATGGTGTTTGTACAGACTAGGCAACGCCAATGGGAAGACATTGCACAGAATTATGATGGTGAGTCAAAGAAATGATATCCCATGTAGTTTGGAGCTATTCTTGCATCGACAAAGTAAAGCCTAGCTTTCAAATTCCTATTACTGTCACCGAGAAAACCACTGAATGAATTTGTAAAAGTTCATTTCATTAAACCTGTTTACATTCCTATATTCGAATGGCGCCGAAATCGAAAGAGTAGTTTCGATTCAAAATAACATTAATAAATTCAGCTACTCTCAGTTTATTCAAACCAAACTGTAAACACATAATAATGAAATAACCACACGTAAACACCTAGTAATAATCCAATAACATGGGTAAGTTTTAAAATAAGTATTAGAACAGTTATAGGTCAGCTACATTCTAGCGACCGAATTCTGTCGACGACAAAATCTCAAGCGTGTTGCCAACGCAGGGCAACGAAAAAGTGTAAATTAATTCGAGAGGCATGGAAATAAACATACTCCCACCCTATCAGGTTCAGTCTTGATACGAAGGAAAAGGTGAAGGTTTATTAGTTGTTCTTTTGAAGACACCAGTTTTAGTTTTGACTATGGCTACGCGAACTAATCCGTCCTTGCCAAGATGGAAATCGATGACACGTCCTATAGGCCATGCTAAAGGTGGAGGTCCATCTTCGATGACAAAAACCGAAGTGTCTATCTCCAGGTTAGCTTTGGCGTGCTGTCAGTTCCATCGCTGCTGAAGAAGTCAGATATTCGTTTTTCCAACGATTCCAAGATCAACGTCGAATGTTCTGAATAAGTTCCCATCTGGGCGAACAGGCAGCTAGGTGTCTGGAATGGAAGTCAAAGTATCACCTGTAATAAAATGACATTAATAGAGTCAATATCCGGGGTTAAAATATTAATAGAGTCAATATCCGAATCGTTCATGTAAGTAAGTGGACGCGAATTCAAAATAGCCTCGATCTGGGTAAATAGCGTTGACAACTATTCGTAGGTCAAAACAGTCCCTTTCAATACTCTTCTCAGATTAAATTTCGCTGAGCGAGGGCCAACTTCCCAAATTCCTTCAAAGTATGGTGAAGCAGGCGGTATAAAATGCCATTCAATAGATGGCTGAGTTAGTTCTCGAGAGACTGACTCTGCTGCGTACAAAGAAGACCAAATCTGATTATCTTCTGTAATTTTCGGCATGCTCCCACAAAATTGGCGCAGTTGTCACAGTAAACATGACGTGGTACATCGCGGTGCGAAATGAAGCGTTTAAGTGCAGCAATAAACGAGTCCGCCGTCAGATTACTGACTGCTTCTATATGCACAGCTTTAGTCGACAAGCAAATAAACAAAGTTATATAACCTTTCGTTGTTTTAGAACCACGACCCTTATTGAATTTAAGCTAATAGAACCAGTATAGTCGACACCAGATGCGAAAAATAGGTTGTTCGAAAGTCCCACGATGTTCAGGTAATTCACCCATCAATTGCAGAGTTAGAGCAGCTTTAAATGGATGACATATAAGCAGTGGTTGACACTCTTCCCTTCACTTATCTAGTAAGTTTGCCTGATAAGGTGGGATAATAAAGAAAAACTAGCATGAATAGAGTTCTTTCACTGGTTATTCACTAAATTTATGTTGACAAGGAAGTATTACAGGATATTTGATATTAAATGCTAAAGATGGATTCTGAAGACGTCCTCCCACCCGCAAGAGACCATCTTTGTCTATGAATGGATAAAGAGAATGTTATTGGCTCTTCTTTTTGTTGTTATCTTTCCTGAACTCCTCAACTTCCCCCCTCGCATTTCCTCCGCAGGGTGTAAATTTAAAGTGAAGTGAAATGAGTTATTAAATTGGTGAATCTTGTTTTTTATTCAGAGCGTGTTTTCGCTAGCCAGCGCACCTTTTGTTTCTGACCTTGCTGTTGCGCTGATACGCCTCTTGGTAATTTTGAATAATTATCCCTCCTGTTAGGTTTGTCTAGTCAACCTAGATTAGCCGTAACTTAAAGTGGTAGACCAGCACTACTCTTTTTAGATTTAGATTTATTGTGTTACAAATTCTTAGTTTCCACCGCAAGTTGTCGGCGTTATTGTAAAGCACGAAGTACGCACCTTTCTGTTCCTAGTTGGCATTAATATAGGGTTATATTCACCCTTCTCCTGTGCTGGTATTACTTCCCGCCTGTGCAAGAAGTCGCCAGGTTAATTAGTAGGATCTAGATTAGTTTATGTGGACAAAGAGAGATTGAGCCTATAAGGTTTCTTTCCCTTAATAAATTGCATATCCTCTTGGAAATAAAGACTCTGAATCCAACTAATAATGATCTTTTCTGCTACTCGAATCTCTGCAAATGTTAGCAGCATAAGGCAGTTGGAGGTAATACCGCTATGCGAAATGTTCTGAGTAACAAGGTGCTTTTTGCAATTAGTAATAAATCTTGAACAATCTTGCAACGTGAAGAACAATGTTCGAACAAAGTAAAATACATCAATAAAAATCAGTAAAATAATAAATCATTCGATTCACGTATATGAGAAATAATAATAGGATCAGATCTTTGTTCAGTCTTTATTCAGTATCATCTTCAGATCTTAAT